GCATCGCCGTATCATAAGATCCATCACAGCTGCAAAATACAGAGAGAAGCAGCAAGTGAAAGACGTGCAGAAGCTGAGAAAGAAAGAGCCTAAGACAGTGCTTCCACACGACCCCACTGCAGATGTTTTCGCTACGCCTGCTGAGGAGAAACCGGTAGAAATCGAGTGGGTAAAACCAGAGCCGAAGGTTGACTTGAAAGCAAGGAAGAAAAGGGTGTACAAACGGCAAAGAAAAATGAGGCAGAAGCTGAGTGCTGGGAATGCAAAATGACTCAGCTAGAAAATGGATGTAACGAAGGTGTTTTTTCTTAACTTTAATTTGTATTCAGCATGTAAATACTTTTATTGTCCAGAACTGTCTAATTAGTTTCTCATTGGAAAGAGAATTAAATGCCAAGAATTTTTTTATAAATTCAGTGGTGTCTGTGTTTCTCATTAAAACCTCCTCAGAACTCATGCATTTCTGTTTTTCTTTTCCAAGCTCATTAGACATTGAAAATATAGTACATTTTGGATTTAGGTCTATTCTCTTTGATTAAGAATATCGGTCTACATTTCTAAAATTTAGACCAATTTATTAGTTTGTTACTCTTTACCTAATTGGACACTGTAAGAAAGTAATGTCTAGATGGGAAAGTAGGATTTGACTGCTGGGAAGGAAAGCACCTCACTGAGGTTAGTTTATGTAAGTGTTTAAAGCATTTTACACATTAATACATTTATTTTAAAATAAACTGTCAGAGCAGTGGGTAGAAACTGAAATGCTCCTGGGTGGGGCTAAAACAGATAAATTCTGTTGTAACCAAAGTTAGTGGATTGAACCCACTTGCCGTCATGATGATCTGCTCCTGTACCCGTGCACTGTTCTTGCCACCAGAGCCCCTTGCTCCTTTTTAACAAGGATTACGGCAGAGAAAATCATCTGATGCTCAGTTCTCTTAACAAATGCAGTCCCCAGGAGTTAGAATGAATTTTGCAGCAAGAGCTTAAGTTTGGGGTATAGAGTAAAATGAACAGTGGAAGGAAGGAAGACTTCCACGGCTGCTGAGAAAGAATCAATGCCCTTGATTTGTGTTGTTAAAGAAGACTATTGAATAGACTTTCAAAAGAACAAACAGTTAAGTCTTGGGGAAAAGTGCAAGCTGGGTGCTTCTCAGAAGCAAGGGTGGTGAAGCTTCATCTCACATATTTTGGGCTTGTCATTAGAAGGGGCCAATCCTTGGAGAAGGAGCATCATGCTTAGAAAGGTCAGGGACAGACAGACTAGGGAGCTCAGGAGACCTATGCAGGTAGTGTGAATTCACCAGATGATCCTCGGGAGAAGAGGAATCTCTACCATTTACAGCTTCTGAAAGCCCCCTGGACAGTCAAGCCTCAGTTGTTTCTAACTCTGCAGCATGCAACAACCCCATAGACAAGACAGTTTTTAGAGAAGCAGACGGCCATATCTCTGACCTATAGAGTGACTAATGGGTTTAAACCCTACTCATCTTGTTGGTTACTCAAGTATTTTATAATCATTCTTTATTTCAATTCTTGGCAACTCAAAAAACCCAAACTAAAACTACTATCAGTTTCCACTTATTGCCACCCCCCACCCCCCCAATCAAGTCCTGAGCTGGTAAATCTTCAAAGAAGACTGCAGAATCTTCCTCTGTGGTTGGTAGGTTTGAACCACTGTGATTCTGCTTAGCAGCCATTGAGTTAATTTCAACTTACAGCATCCTTTTGAGGACAAGGTAGAACTATCTCCCGAAGGTGTCCAGAGCTGTATGTCTTTTTTTTTTCAACTTGAATGACAGTTTACAGAGCAAACTGGTTTTCTATTCAACAATTCACACACATAATGTTTTGAGACATTGCTTGATACTTGTTATACTGTTGAGTAGACCACCACTCAGAACAGCCATATGAACAGTGGATCTGAACCCCACCCTTTCCTGTGCCATCCTCGTCCTCTCTGATATTTAAGCCCATTGTAACAGTCCATCTTATTGAGGGCCTTCCTCTCTCACTAATCTCCCACTTTTCTGTCACTTCTTTTTATGAGTAGAAATGCTTGTGTAAGCATCTGTGCCAAAAAAATGTATGTAGATGATTGTAGATCTGCACAGTATATCCAATAGAAGGCTAATTTTATTAAAGATGAAGATGGAGGGGAGATGGTAACAAAGCAGCCTCTGCATGACATTAATTTTACTAGGTGTACAAATGCATATTGCGGAACTCTGGTGGCCTGATGGGTAAGAGATGTGCTGCCAAGCCAAAGGTGGGAGGTTTGAATCCATCAGCTGTTCCTAGGGAGACAGATGGTCAAGATGCCCATATGCAATTTATAGCCTCTGAAAACCTGCTGGAGAGTCAGCTATGATTGGTTCTTGACAGCATAATTGGTAGGATGGGCTGCTAACCCAAGACCCTGCCCCTGGTGAATTGATTCACCAGCAGCCACAGGAGAATGAGGGGCAATTCCTCCCCTGTGTTTACAGTGTTGGCAGTTTGAATCTACCAGATGCTTTGTGGAAGAAAGATGAGAGTCTCTGGCTCTGTAAAGATTGACAGCTTTGCACGCCACTAGTGGTCTGAGTAGCAACTCTTGGTCTCTGTTTGATGCGAGGAGTGAAAAAAAAGTTAGAGATTATCAGTCTACAGTATTAATGGACCATGTAGGCATCAATCTCTATGACTCTGGCACAAAAACTAGATGGTGCCCACCTCTCACTGCTAACCGTTCTGACAGGGACCACAACTGCAGGGCAAGGCCAATGTGGGAGGAAAATGTGCAAAATTAAAAAATCTTAAAAAGGACCAGGCGCAGTGCGCTGATAGAGCCTGGCTGAACATCTAAGGCTCGGTTCTTAGCTGTCCTTCAAGGCTGGAACTGAAATGACTTAATTTCCAATCAAGTAGACAGGCCTGTAAGATGATTCCGTGTAAATTATCTGAAAATATTATTATAATGTATGCAAATAAAATCTTGCTAAACATTATTCAAAAACAGCTGGAACAATACATCAACAGGGAACTTCAAGCTGGATTCAGAAGGGGGAATATTATGGCTGATGTCAGGTGAATCTTGACTGAAAATAATGCCAGAAAGATGTTAACTTACATTTTACTGATTATGCAATTATGCAAAGATATTTGACCATGGATCATAAAAAAATTCTAGCTAATATTAAGAAGAATGAGAATCCCAGAATATGTAATTATGTTCATGCAAAATCTATCTCTAGACCAAGAAGCAGTTTTCCAAACAGAACAAGGGGACACTTCACAGTTTAAAATCAGGAAAGGTATATATCAGGATTGTCTCCTTTCTACATACCTGTATTCAATCTGTATGCTGAGCAAATCATTCAAGGCACTGAACTTTAGGAAAAAGATTGTGACATCAGGATTGAAGGAAGATTCATTAATACAAAAACCTTGCTTGCAGAAAGTGAAGAAGACTCGAAGTATAATGGGTTACATCTCAACATAAATAAAACAAATATCCTTACCCCTGGGCCAATAGGCAAAATCATGGCAGATGGAGCAAAGATTGAGCTTGTCAACAATTCCATTTTACCTGGATCCACAATCAACACTCATGGTAGCAGCGGTCAAGAAATCAAAAGAACATGTTGCATCAGGGAAATCTGCTGTCAGCAGGACCTCTCCAAAGTTCTAAAGAACAAAAATGTCAGTTTGAAGACTAAGGTGTGCCTAATGTAAGCCATGGTATCTTCAACTGCTTCCTCTACATCTAAAAGTTAGACAATGAATAAGACCAAAGAATTGATGCTTTTGAATTGCAATGTTGGCGAAGAGTATTGAATAGCTCACAGAAGACCCACAGAGCAAGCAAATGTGCCTTGGAACTGCAACCAGAGGGCTCCTTAGAGACAAGGATGGTCAAAATCCTTTCTTTAACTTGCGGTATATTTTCAGGAAGAACCAGTCTTAGTCATGCTGGGAAAGATAGAGGATTGGCAAAAGAGGAAAACCCTCCAAGGAATTGCACTGACACGGTGACTACCACAACAGCCTTGAGCCTGACAGATCATGAGGATTACACAGGCGAGAACAAGGTTCAGATCTGTTTATAGGGTTGTCATGAGTCATGGTCAAGGTGATGGCATCTAACAACAGGAGTTGGTTTATTTCCTTGAACCTTTGCTAATGTTGAAACGCTTTTCCCCATCTTATATAGGTTAAGAATTTGGATAAGTTAAAGATTTGGTTACTGGTAAACATGACTACTTTGTTTATTTTGGTTAGATGTTGGATTTTCTTTTGTAACTTGACTAATCCTGTTTGGTTTTCTGTAGTAAGATTACCTCTACAGCACTGATTGGCTTGTCAATCCCTTGGCTTGTCAAAACAAACAAATATGTATTAGAAAAAGTGCAGCCTGCTCCTTAGAGGCAAGGATGGTGAAACTTCATCTCATATGCTTTAGGTGTGTTGTTAGAAGAGACCAGTCCTTGGAAAAAGACATCATGCTTGGAAAGGTGGAGGGTCAGCAGCGAAAGAGAGAAAGACCCTCGACACAAGGGGTTGACACAGTGACTAACAATGGACTCAAATATAACCGATGATGAAGTGGGAGAGGATAGGGCAGATCCCATTGTTCATAGGATTACTGTGAGTAGCAGTCAACTCGAAGGCATGTTGTGGTGGTGGTGGTGGACCAGTGAGTCAGAACTGACTCATAGCTGATCCTCTGGCAGGTTTTTGGAGGCAGTTAATTGCACAGGAGGAGATTGTCCATCTTTCTCCCACAGAACAGCTGGTGGGTTCAAACTATATGCCTTTGGGATTACAGTGCACCTTCTTACCACTAGGCCACTAGAGCTCTGATAACAACAAGCAGATAGGATTAGTAACTATTTTCACTTTGTGTCTATTATTTTAAATATGTGGGTGGAATTAACAATCTATCATCAATTTCCCCCCCTTTCATTTTATGCAAAGAAAGACCTTTCCAAGTCTACTTAATATACTTACAATGGCCTAAATTAGACTACTTATCTTGAAATCTTGAGGTAGTTTAAATTTTTTTTTGGTAGTTGATATTTCAACAAGAAAAAGATAAACAACCCAATTGCAAAATGGGCACAGAATACGTCAACCTTGCACAGGGGCAATCTTCTCTGTATCATTCCAATTTTAGTATATGTGCTGCCAAAGCAAGCACTGGGCATAGGGTATGAATAGACACTTCACCAAAGAAGTCATTCAGGTGGCAAACAAATACATGAAGAAATGTTCAAAATCCCAAGCTAT